CATTTTCTGTGTGAAGGTGAAACACTGCCAGCAGAGTATGAGTAACCTTGGGTCACGGATTACAGTGAGGAAGCTAACTTGCATTATTTTCATTCAGCGGTTCAAGCGATTAGTAAAAAAAAAATTCGTTGAAGCACGGATCAGTATATTTCAGTTTAGTGAATTAAATTTTTTCTATTTTTTTTTTTTTTAATACATACGTACGTATTTCTTGAGAAAAAAAAATTTTTCGTAATTGACCTACATAAAATACTCGTGTACTTTTTCAGGAACACAAAACGAAACATTTAAAATTTTGATTTTACCTTACAAATCGTCTAGTTTAAAATGAGTAAAAAAACCTCGAAAAATTAAAAAAAGGCTTTTGTTCTTCATACACGTTTGTAATGTTATATTTTAAATTCTTTTAAGAAATTTGGAAGATATAAAAATGTTGTAAACTTTAAATTAAAAAATTTTGATTTTAGAGTCAATTTTAAAATTAAAATTTAAAATATCAAAATTTTAAAGATTTCACAATCAAAAAATATAAAAGTCAAAAATATTAAAATTAAGAAAATATCAATTAAAAAAAAAAAGAAATTAACTATAAAAAAAGTCGTATAATTAACAGAATATTAATATTAGAAAAAAATTCAGTTAAATTAAATCTTAAAATTAAAATATCTATATTCAAAGACATTTTGTGGTAGAACGAATAGTGATACAGAAGATGGCTGAACGGTAAAACCGGTTTTTCTCAAAACCACAATTGACAAGGGATGACGGAAAATTGTGCCACAATACTTCAAAAAAAAAACCTTTTTAAAAGTTTTGTACTGCATTTTTGTTCTGCTATTGTTTTTTGTTATTGTATTATTATTGAAATATTTTATTTTCTTTTACTCTATACATTTTTTTATTTCATCAAAATTTTTGTTTTGTAAAAAAATCGGAAAACCCGTAGTCAAAAGGGTGTTTACTTAAAGTTGTGAAAAATTTTGTTATTGCTTTTAATTTATTAATCGACCTCAAAAAAGGTTATCAATTTATCGCAATATAACTATACATATTTTTATAATCATTTTTTTATGAGAACTTTAGATCACGTTCTCAAGGCAGTCGGGTCTACGTAATCGGGACTCCCCGAAAACTCTGGGGAGTTTGTATGCTGTTATAACACGCCACGCCAACCAACTGATTTGGTTTAGCTCCGATCATTGGATCAAGAAGAAATTTACATTACCTACTCCTAAATTTATAAATGAGCTTTTTGCTTAAAAATGACTTGTTTTTTAAATTTATGAGCTCAAGGAGAAACTATTTTTTTTTTTGGAATTCAGTAAGATACATAGTCCACAATTATTATTTTTTAACAAATTAGTGCTTAAAGGAGGTTGCTTTATGTGCCGTTCTGGAAATCGAATGGGCTTTTGATAATACCTCCTACGAATCTTTCTCAAGGGCACTGGTCCAACGAGGCATCGATCTGTCCACTGTCGGGTGGATTGACACCATTCTCCGTAAGTATGATATCACATCGTACCTAGGCTACAGCTCTGTGAACATTAGAGCCATTAGAGGGTGCTCACAGGGAGTGTTCTTTCTCCTCTACTCTGGTCTCTCGTCGTAGATGACCCCTTAGCCCAATTAAAGGAAAGCGGTTACCTTGCTATTGGTTATGCGGACGGCCTTGTAATTATCGTGACGGGAAAATTCGGCTACACTGTATCAGACGTTACAAGTGCAGCTCAGCGCTTAATGTCAAACTAGTGTGCCAATGACGACCTCCACATTAACCCGCAAAAGGCTGTTCTGGTACCGCTTACAAGAACGTACAAGCCGAACATTGATTCGGTTACCCTTGGTGAAACAGTGCTTGAATACTCTGATGAAATGAAATACATATCTCGGTACTATTCTGGATAAGATACTAAGTTGTAATTCCCATCTAGACAAAACTCTTAGTAAAGCCATGTGGACCTGTCGAAGACCTTTCGGTCGAACATGGGGTCTAAACTCTAAAATACTAGAATGGCTATACCGAACTATAGTCCGTTCGATCGTAAATAGTTAGTCTGGTGGCCAAAACGCTGCAAAAAAATTGCCGTTTCACATCTGAACAAACTCCAAAGGCTGGCCGTACTATCGGTGACAGGAGCTTCTAGTTTGGACCCTACATTTTTCAAAAATTCAGACAGTACTCTTAAAAGCAAGAAACAACACAAAGGCATTTTGGGCTAAATACCAGGTCTAGGAATCTGCGAGTTCTCCGACGCTATGCCAAAGGAAATCTGCTTCGGTAGGAAATTTAAGGTCAAGATTTCATAGCGAGATGTCTGGGTAGAGCCGAAGCGGGTTTTTTTGGACCTGGAAACAAACTTTCTATTGCAATGGGTACTTGGTCCACGGTCTTTCAGGCCGATGTACTAGAAATCTCAATTTGTGCCAGACTGAACCATGCGAAGGGTTTAAAATGCGCGTTTCTAGTTACCTTTTCAGATAGCCAAATCCTCTTATACCCAAAAATTTACATTACATTAGTGCTTAATGAAATGTGTAGCTGAATTGCATCTGTTTACTAATTTTTAAAATGTTGTTTAAAATTTTTTTCAAACACTTTGCTAAAATATAACTTTTTTTCTTATTTTTGCAAATTTATTACATTAAAACTAATTTATTTAGCACACATTTCACATTTTTCCGTCCGCATTTTCTTCAAAACTTTCTCTCGTCCTTTTTCCACTTTTGGCAAACATAATATTTATACAAGCCAGTTTTTACAATTTTTTTAATTTAATTTAACTTTTTTAATTTTCGATTTATGTACGTACATTTCAAGCGCACACAAGTAGTTGGTTTTGTTATTGTAACGCTTATTTGCTTGCCATAAATAATTTCAGCACGATTTTTTTCATATTTCAGCCAGCCACAATGGCTGTTTTTATTTTACTTGGAGGTTTTTTCTTAATTTTTTTTTTCGTGGCGTTGCATTGTACATTTACTCCTGCATGCATACATATGTATGTATTTACTTACATATGTACATTCACATGTAAATAAAAGCCACTTTTAACGCTTTAACAATTTCCATTGCATGTTTGCATGCATTTTTTGTTTTTGCTTTAACTTTTTTTCTTCTGCTGCGCCAGGTTTTGAATTAAAATTTTCATGACTTTGATTGCGTTTCTGCCACTTTTTTATTGTGGATTTACGTTTTTTTTTTTTTATTTATATAATTTTTTATTAAAATGTTTGTTTTTGCTTTTGCTGGGCTGCCGCTGCTGATGCATAACTTTTTTCATTTCTCCATTGCCAATTAGCGCATTAATCGCTTCTGATTTCATTTCCAGTTGGAGATTATTTTGATTGCCACTTGTTATGCGAAATCATTTGAGTGTTCAAGGTCGATTTGCCAACTTTCAATTGTTTTTATTGCTAATTAGCGAGTTTTCGAGTGCTGCAGAGTGAATGAAGAAGTAAGTATGTGTGTGATGTGTTACAAGGGATCAAGGGGCTTTAGGAAAACATTTAAGTAGTTTTCAGAACCTGGTTTCAAGTTCAAGATAAAATAAAACAAATGAGCTAAATATAAAAAATCCTAAATTCAAAATTTTTCTTACTTTTAAATTAAAACATCTTTCAATAAACATTTATGTATAAAACATAAATATATTCAATAGAGACATAAAAAGCGTTAAAACGGATTTACAAAATTTAAAAAACTAAAATAAATATAAAAATGTTAGTACAAAATTTAAAGAGCATTTCTCGAAATTTTATTCAAAAAGAGTATATTTTCAAGTATGCCTCACTATTCAAAATTAAAATGTCTTTTAATAAAACTTTATACATTTAACAGAATATCTTAAAAATAAACATATAATACTTATCATACAAATTTATAAAAAAAGTTTAAAAATAAACTAAATGATTAAATCAGAATACAAAAAGTTAAACTATATTTAAAAATACTAAAACCGATCTAAAAAATTAAAACAGATTTAAAAAATAAAAGACACCAAAAATTAAAAATGTATGTATGTATACTAAAAAATGTAACAAATTAAAAAAAAAATATTTAAAATCAAAAAACTGTTATTATTAAGTTTTAAAAAGTCTTGTCAACTATTTTTTATCAATTAATTTGATGAAAACTTGTTAGCTTTCGGTTTATTTTAAGAACAAAACTAAAAAATTTAATTTTTTTGTGCAATATTTCTTTCAAATAGTTTTTGAAGGTAAAGAAAAGCACTCAGTAATTTTTTTGGAGGAATTTTGAAATTTAACAAACTGATTATAAAAATATTTTTTTTTACATTTAAAATTTTCCTCGACTAATTACTTATGTTGATTTCGTTTCTTCCCAAAAATGTTGCTCTTCCCCGATGCAAAATCTGTTTGATGTCACACTCAACCCGGTAAAGCGAAATTTTTTGGTAAAAACGAAGAAATCACCAGTATTTTAAATAAATGAAGAAAATCGCCAAAAAAATTCATACTCAAAACTTACATTATCGATTTTATAAAAATACTTGTTAAGTTTGGCGACGGCATGGGAATTTTTATTGTAGATATAAAAAAGTGAAACGAAATAAGACTTTAACAAACAAAATATTTATAAGCTTATAAAAGCAAATATCATAAAAAAATTAACAGCAATTTTTATTGAGGCATTACTAAAATTTTATCAAAAAGGGTTTTAAAAAAAAAAAATTTTTAACTGATTAAAATTTTCTTTTAATTAAAAAGAAATAATTATTTGAAATAAAGTTTAAGTAACCTTAAATACCCTACTAATTTTTCAAAATAAAATGTCAGTGAACTTTTACATGCTACAAAATTTTATTTTTTTAAATTGAATTAATTTAAATATATTAAAAATAATATTTATTTTGCTAAAATCTGAACAATAAAGATAAGAATCGTAAATCAAGAAACATTTAATAGCTTTAACCTAATTTAGTATACAAAACACCCAAAAGACTTTCCATTTGAAATATAAACTTTCTCTCTTACAGTGTGACACAAAAACATCGCACTATGTTTCTTCCGAACTGGTCATGCGTGCGTTTTTAATGAAAAGAAATTTCTTCAAATAGAAAAACTGAAAGCAATTTCGAAGAAAAATTGCCAAAATGCTTTAACCTACAATAATAAAAAACCAACAAAAATAATAACAAAAGCGGAAGCAAAATCGACTGCTAAGAGCAATTGCGAAAATGCAATAAAATAGATGAATGTAAAATATTGACACAACAACAATAACAACAGGCTATTGAACTAGTAAAGTGGACCGCAACTAAAGCAAAAACAAGAAAAAAAACCCATTAATAAAAGCAACAGCGTACAAAGTAATCGCAACAACAACAGCAAAGTAAACAATCGAACAGCTTAAACAAACGAAGAAGGCGGTGCCAGCGGCCAAGCGACAAACGGCAAACGGCAAAAGGGCGGCAGCGTCCAGGGTTACGGTGCGAGTACGACAGAGGGACAATGACAAGAATTGCTAGAATGGCAAGAAAAATGGCGACCGCAACAAAATTCGCCATCGCGGTTGGCAACATTCTCACAATATTTATGGCAATGACGGCATTGTGTGCGTGGCGTGTGGATGGGCAGTCACAGCCACAACCACAACCGTCGTTACAGTCACAGTCACAGCTACTACAGAGCCAATCAGTGGTGCCACAGCAGCAACAACAAGCGTTGTCCGCATCGCAAGCGACACCACATAAATACCAGGAATTGCAATATCAATTGCAACAACAACAGCAACAGCAATATGAATATCAGCAACAGCTGCATCAACAATTGCAACAGCAACAGCAACAACAACAGCATCAGCAAAAAACACTTTATCAACAAAAGCAACAGCAACAACAACAACAAAAGTATCAGCAGCTACAACACAAGGAACAAAAGCAGGATAAGACGAGCTATGAGCAGCCGGCGGCGACGGTGTTGGCGGGGGAGCAGCAGCATACAGTTCCCACACAGGTCAGTGTCAGTGTTGTCATTATTTTTGTTGTGATCAAATTTTAGCAATATGTATGTACTTTTTCCTTACTTTTTTGTAGTTGTGATGATGAAGGGCGGGACTGGGTTTACGCAAGGGGTGTGAATACCCGTAGGAGGTGGTTAAAAAAGTAGATATGGGCGTGAAAATAAATGGGATCGACTTATTTTTATTTATTTTTTTTTAATAAAACAACAAAATACTTCTCATTAAAAATGTTGTGAATATGTTTTTATGAAATCAAGATATATTTTAACCCTAAAAATTGGCAGATGGAATTGAATTTTCCCTACTTCTCAAAACTTGCAATATCAAAAAAAAAAATATTAATTAATTATGAAAATTTATAAAAAAATGCAGTGAGTAAAGGTTCAAACTTAAAAAATCATACCAAAAATAGTTTAAAGAAAATATCGAATAATTTTTAAATTTTGTGATAACTTGTTTCTTACTAGTAAAAATATTTCTTATGAATTTTGTTTTTGTTAGTTATGAAATACATTTTGATCATAGACGCTTTGATAATGAAACCCCTAATTTGAAAATCTTTAAGTAACATTAAAATAATAAAATGTCTTTCACTTACCCGGTTTTGATTTGCATTTACATCAACCATATACACATGTACATAGGTGGGTGGTACTCTGCTAGAGGCAACGCATTTATTTGGCCTGCAAGCTGCGTACATAATAAGTACTGGAAAAGAAAATATAAAAAAGTTTTTTATTTAAATTTTTATTTACATAAATATCTGTTTTATTACTTAAGAAATTGTATTAATGTTATGATATTCATTTTTAAAAAGAACAAATGCCAACATAGGCAGCAACAAAAATATGCAGCTTGGGGTTTTTAACGATGCCATTTTTTCTTGAACAGCAATTTTTTTAAACAATTTTGATTTTTTTATTTTTATTTCTAGTAAAAAAAGCTGGCACATGTCAAGTGCCAATGAGCTAAATGGGTATAAAAAATTATTTAACAGGGTTGCCATACATACATGCAGAACTAATCATTCATGTAAGTGAAAATATTTGTAAATCAGTGCTGTCATCACACTTTCGCTTTGGAATTGGCTAGTGGCAGATTAGAATTACTCCTCTTCCTCTTAGAAAATCAATGGTAGGTAAATTTGATAGCATTAGTGCTGATAAATTAACTTCACAATGTATCGACTTGAATCCAATTTGATTTTACTCCGCTTCACTGGGCGCTCATGCCTTCTACTTGTTTCACACCGTTAACTACATGCACGTATAGCTAGCGTAAACACATATGTATATGTGTAAGTACGTACAAATTTTTTATAATGTTTTCATTCAAGCCAATTTTTATATTTATTTTTATTTGCCGCTTTATTGTCTGCGCTCAGGGCCAGCCTCCACCAACGCCCATTGTTTCAAAAGCACACACACACATGCATACCCGTAATAAATGAATGAATGACCATGTGTGTTTTATATTTTACGTACTTGGCCGCCACCTCAATTGTGTAAATGTATTATATAATACACATGCGGGTATGTAGGTATGTATGTACGTATTATTGGTTTACTCATTGTTCGTTGTTGTTGTCAACTTCATCGACATCAAGCATCTCTGCCCCCTTCCACCTGCCATAAATACGACCAGCCTGCCATTCAAGCAGTTTGCTGTTTGCTTTTTGTCGCCGCTGTCGTTCGGCGCCGCAACCTGGTGTTGCATATTTCCCCATTTTACTTAGTTGGATTTATTGATTTTTGTGGCTCGTAATTTTTTTTCTTGTCGCGTACAAATAATAAAAGTCACACGTGGGCAGACGAAAAAATTACAACAACAAAATTTTTAAGAAAAAATATAGGAAAAAACTAAGACAGGACACAATATAAATAGAGAACAAAGACAACGGGGCCGACTGAAAAATTAAAGCGAAAAAAAATATGAAAATAAAGCGAATAAGTGCCAAAATTTAGGGCAAACCAAACAACATAATAAAAAACCATAAATTAACCAAAAATCTAAAGTAAAAGCTAAGGGAAATAAATGTAAATAGTCTTTAAGAAAAACATTTGTTTAAAGAAAAGAAATTTAATAAAATACAATAAAACGAAAAAGTAAATGTTTATGTAAATAAAATTTAAATTTAGTCTTAAAGTACAACAACAATAAAATTTAAAACTTAGAAACGCATACATATGCATGTAGATATGTACCTTGTAATAACTTAAAAAATAATAAACACAGAATATAAAGAAATCAAAAAATAAATCAAAATAATAAATTTAATAATAAAGGGACAATAATAACAATAAAGCTTGTTTATTTTAATTCTAAAAACATAATAAACATATGTATGTAAGAAATTTTTTAATAAACTTAATCCCATTAAAAAACAATAAAAATAAAATTAAAAGGTACAAAACACCTTGAACAATTAGCGTATAGAAAAGAATGTAAAATACAACAAAATAGAAAACCTAAAAGCCAATGATTAACAACAAAACAACTTTTTTTTTTAGAAACACAAATCTGTAAACGAAAAGGCAATAGAAAATAATAATTCACAAAATAGTATTTAGAAAGAAATTTAATACGTTACAATAAAACGAAAAAGTAAAAATTTAAGGAAATAAAATTTAAATGCAATCTTAAAGTAAACAAAAATTGTAATTTTAGAAATCTTGCAATGACTTATGAAAATAAACACAAAATAAGAAATTTAAAATAAAAAGAAAAATAAGAAAGTTAAAATAAAAAAAATAAATAAAAAATAAATTAAATATAAAAAATTCAAAAAAAGAAATCAAACTTTTTTATTGTAATTCTAAAAAAACATATTTAAAATATTTATAAGATAACTTTAAATAAACTTAATCCGATTTAAATAAAATAAAAATAAAGTAAAATGCAAAACACCTTGACAATTAATGTAAAAAGAGCAAAATTAAACAAAATAGAAAACCTAAAAGCCACTGATTAACAACAAAAACTCACAAAAATAAGTGTAAGCTACAAATGAACAAACAATAGATTTTCATTAAACAAACAAAATAAATAAAAAAATAATAACACAAAATTATAAATAAAAGTATGTTTAGGAAAATTTAAAAATTAAGAACATTAAAGAAACTTAAAACTAACTTTGAACTTTAAAAATTAAAACGGTAATTAAACAAATTTAATTTAAACAAACAAATTACTTTAACAAACAAATACTGAAATTTTGATCGAGTCTGGGGTAAACATATTAAAGGTAAACTAGATCGCATTTTGAAAAACTTAATGTATAAATAAAGGCAAAAACAAAAATTAAAAATGCCAGGGCTATTAAGATATTAAAGAGTAAAAGTCATAAAGTAACAAAAAACAATCAAACATTTTCATTTAAGGAAATAATAAAAATTAAATAAAAAAACAATAAAAATTAAATTAATAAAAATATGAAAATTAATAAAATTAATAAACAAAAATAATAGTATTTTAAGAAATAAAAGAAAGAAATCCAAAAAGTATTGTTTTTTAAGTTATTAAAAATACATCTTTTAATCATTTTATTTAAAAAGTTTAAAAATAAATAAAAATTTGTAGAAAATTAAACAAAAAACCGAACAAATTTGTAGAAAAATGTCATATATTTTTCACAGATTTTTTTTTTTGCGTGCGCTGTTTTGTAGCCCATTCAATTTTGGTATATAGTGCAAGTTTGAGGTAGCTGCATATGTATTACCTATGGTTGATTTTGTTTTTGTTTTTTTTTTTTTTACTGACGCTCCGCATTCTTTCCTATACTCACGCTCGAATTTTTTTCGAAAAAAAACGGAAGAGCTTCAGTAAAAAAAAATCGTCAAAAATCAACACTGATTTGTTGCAAAACTGCTTGCTCATAAAACTTCTAATAATTATGAGAAAAAAGTTTGAAATTTTGATGATTTGTTTTTTGCACAAAGTTTGAAACTTGCGTTTATATGGTTTTTGTTAGAGATTGAAATGTATTTTTACCAAAAAATAATGCAAAATCAATACGTGCACGAGAGCTTTCGTCGTTGAAAGGCGAAACACTGCACTTCATAAAATTTATTAACCAATAAAAATTTCACGCCGAGACGTTAAAATAAAATATAAAAAAATGTCCACTACCACCAAACACTACCCTCAAATAAAAAACCACTGAAATTTATGTGTTAACTAATTTGCTACAGATGTTTCACGTGCCAGAAAAAAATGCCAGGCGAAAATTTAAAAAATCATAAACTTTACACAATTGCACATATAATCGTAAAATATTATGAGACACATAAGGATATAAAATTTTAGTGTGCAATAAGTGAAAGGTTTAAAAAATAAAAGCCGACATGGGCATGGGACACAAGCGGGAGACTATTAAGAGCACACACATATGTATGTATGTATGTATACAATTTTAGATATTTACATATGTTTGTATGTGTTTTAGTACCTATCTATGTATCATCTTTTTTATTTGCGTTCAAGTTTTAAACTTTGAGGACATAATATGTAGCATACTTCGAGGCGGTCACATGCATTTTCTCAGTTTTACTTTTTAAAAATATGCTATATTTAATTTGACCTAAATTTAAATGCACACGAAAATCTGACTGGTACTCCGTATACATTTTCAGGTCGAAAAAGGTGAAACATTACTATTTCTTAAGTTTCGAAAAAAATTTTAAAAATAAAATTACTAAAACACTTCCAAAAAAATGCATGCAGTTTGTGATGTTTGAAAAAATATTATAATACTCAAAAAAACATGAATCTCCTTTGTCCGTCCACTTATTACATGTTTCATAGACATTCACTAGACCCTCAAACAGCTTTGATCTTACACTGAAGGCTATTTACTTAGGAGCCTTTTCTGTTAAAAATATATAAAAAAAATAAAAAATTTGTTTAAATAAATAAGAAAATTTCAATTAGCATGTGTCAAAAACCACTACTATTGAAATGCAAATTGAGTGCAAAATTTGTTTGTTTCTTTCGA